TTTATGTAAAAAGCCCCATCTTCCCTGAACTCCTCTTACATTTTACTTAGCAGCCTAATCATCTTTTGTGGGATGATTAGTGGTGACATGTAGATGTGCAGTAAGGTTTCGGAATTTTGATTTTGCCCCCGGGGTTCAAATGGGGGTCGAAAAATGACGTTTTTTGTGCAAAAAGTCCCGTCTTCCCTGAACTCCTTCTACATTTTACTCAGCAGCCTAATCACCTTTTGGGGGATGGTTGGTGGTGTCATGTAGATGTGCAGTAAGGTTTCGGAATTTTGATTTTGCCCCGGGGGATAGTTTTTTATGCAAAAAGCCCCATCTTCCCTGAACTCCTCCTACATTTTACTTAGCAGCCTAATCATCTTTTGGGGGATGATTAGTGGTGTCATGTAGATGTGCAGTAAGGTTTCGGAATTTTGATTTTGCCCCAGGGGATCAAATGGGGGTCGAAAAATAACGTTTTTTATACAAAAAGCCCTGTTTTCCCTGAACTTCTCTTACATTTTACTCAGCAGCCTAATCATCTTTAAGAAGATGGTTGGTGGGGTCATGTAGATGTGCAGTAAGGTTTCGGAATTTTGATTTTGCCCCGGGGGTCAAATGGGGGTCGAAAATTGATGTTTTTTATGCTAAAAGACCTGTCTTCTCTGAACTCCTCTTTCATTTTACTCAGCAGCTTAATCACCTTTTGGGAGGTGGTTGGTGGTGTCATGTACATGTGCAGTAAGGTTTCGGAATTAAGATTTTGCCCCAGGGGATCAAATGGGGGTCGAAAAATAACGTTTTTCATACAAAGAGCCCTGTTTTCCCTGAACTCCTCTTACATTTTACTCAGCAGCCTAATCATCTTTTGGGGGATGGTTGGTGGGGTCATGTAGATGTGCAGTAAGGTTTTGGAATTTAGATTTTGCCCCGGGGGGTCAAATGTGGGTCGAAAAATGACGTTTTTTGTGCAAAAAGCCCTGTCTTCCTTGAAGTCTTCCTTAAATGTTACTCAGAAGTCTAATCATCTTTTAGGAGAGTTAAATATTTTGAAAATTATGTAAAACATCAACGTCAAGGGGTAACAAGATGTGTTTGTGAAACACTATGCGCCCGGCGTCAACAAAGTTCGAAAAGGCTATTTTTAGCATATAGGTCACAGTCAAGGTCACAAGGTCATTGACCTTGATGTTGTTTGTAAGAACTTAATTAGTGGGGTATGCATACTAAATATGAAGTACCTATCTCCTATGGTTCAAAAGTTATGGCAAAAAGTGGAAAAAGCTATTTTTATCATATAGGTCACAGTCAAGGTCACAAGGTCATTGGCCTTGATGTCATTTGAAGGAACTTTATTAGTGCAGTATGCATACCAAATATGAAGTCCCTATCTCCTAAGGTTCAAAGGTTATGGCAAAAAGTGGAAAAAGCTATTTTTAGTATAAAGGACACAGTCAAGGTCACATGGTCATTGACCTTGGTGTTGTTTGAAAGAACCTTTTTAGTGGAGTATGGATACCAAATATGAAGTCCCTATCTCCTATGGTTCAAAAGTTATAACAAACAGTTGAAAAACCTATTTTTAGCATATAGGTCACAGTCAAGGTCAAGAGGTCATTGACCCTGATGTCATTTGAAAGAACATTATTAGAGGAGTATGCATACTAATTATGAAGTCTCTATTTCTTATGGTTCAAAAGTTATGACAAACAGTTGAAAAACCTATTTTTAGCATATAGGTCACAGTCAAGGTCACAAGGTCATTGACCTTGATGTCATTTGAAAGAACTTTATTAGAGGAGTATGCATACCAAATATGAAGTCTCTATCTCTTACGGTTCAAAAGTTTTGGCCAAGGTTAAAGTTGACAACAGACAAACAGATAAACAGACAAACAGACAAACAGACAGGACAAAAACAATATGCGCCCTGAAAAAATTCGGGCGCATAAGAAAACATCGCATGCTGGGAAACACCTTGAATTCTTATGAGTAATTTATGTACATGTCAAATGTAAGAGTCATATCTCATCTCAATCAAAAGTTATAAGCAAATGCAACATTTTTGAAAAGTAGGTTAGGCTTGATCACTTCAAGGTCAAGGTCACAGTGTTAAAGTCATGATTTATTTTGAAAGGTCTTATCACAGGTAATAATATACATGCATTATGATATGAATGCCCTAACTTTTCTCTTTCAAAATGATGAATTTATAACCATTTTATTTTTTTTGCAAGTTGGTCAAACTTCTAGGTCACATGTAAAAAAAAAACCATGCCATTCTCACAGGTAAATATACTAATACATAAGTTTAATATGAATGTCTCTTCTCATTCACTAGATATGACCGTGATAACCAAGGTTAAATTTATTGAGACAGATGGACTGAGTCTGACATACAAATGTACATATTTCTATATGAATTGGGTAAAATTGGCCCAGTGGTTCTAGAGAAGTTAAAAATGTAAAAAGTTTTCAGACAAACAGATGGACAACACGTCACGACAGACATTATATGCTAAGAAAACCAAAAAAGCTCAAATGAGTGTTTTGAAAGGGTTACAATATGGTTGGAGTATTTGAAAAGCTGTTTTTTTTTTCCTGCAGAGATATGCATGACCAACATATTCATGTTTTATATTTTCTTTAGTGATTTGTTTGTTTGTTGTGAATACATCTTCCCTCTTATGGAGACACCACCAAATAATAATGAAGATAAGATGTGTTTGTGAAACACTGATGTCCCAGTATGGAAGCCTATGGTGAGGGTTGAAGTTTCTCAAATATATGTCAAAATCAAAGGTCAAGGTCAAAGGGTTCAAATTGTTAGTATCAGGAGAAAGTCTTGTCACAAGGAATGCACATGTGAAATAAAGAAATCCCTAGTAATTCCTGTTCAAAAGTTAATTGCCAAGGTTAATTTTTTTGTTTAAGTGGTTCAAACTCTAGGGTCAAGGTAAAACATATTTATACCTGTTGACAGTTCACAATGAATACAATATGTCATGATAAGTATGAAAGCCCTAGCACCTACTGATCAAAATTTAGGCAGAGTTTAAAGTTTGGTATTTTTCTTGTAAAAATGTGTATCCCATGTCAAGCGATCAGAGGTAAAAATTAATGGTACCCAAATAAAAGGTCTTATTGAATTGTCACAAGAAATAAACCTATAAAATGTGGAAGCTATTTGTATAGCCCATCCCACTTAAAACTTATGGGCAAGCTAGCTAGGATTTAATTTCTGCAGACTTATAGACAGACATACTATAAACACAAGAAACAAAATATGTATAATAATTAGTCAAATGGAAAAAAATATACTATTTAACTGGAATCACAAAATACATTGTTATTTCAGGGACAGGAAGTGGGTAGGAAGATTGGAATCCCCCCCTATGGCATTTGCTTTATTTAAACAAGACTATATACTGTAGCAAGTAAAAAATGACTCTTGACATCCTCTCCCTATAAACTTAGAAAACATTGACCTCACTATCATTGTTTTTTTATTTGTTTATTTGTTTTCATTTTTTTTCTCCGGCTTGTCACGAAATTCTGGGCTGGAATTTTTTGACTGAGATGTGAACCCCCCTCCCTACTCCCGAAAAAAATTCTGGATCCGCACCAGTATTGGCAGTAACTGAATGTCACATCGACAACGGGAGATAACTTCACAATATGAAATTCGTCTAGTGTGGCACGCGATGATCTTTGACCCTTTTTAACTTTAACCTAATCGTTTGGGTGTATTTTACCCCCCACTATACTAAAACTTCTACTTACCGACTCCCTGTGTCTCGTCAACTTCATGAAATATAAATCCAATTACCGGTATAACACAAAATGAATATTAATCCAATGCACACCAGACTGCAGCCATGTGCCATTTTGGCGAACCTTCGTCGATTCCATCACCTTATCAGATGAAGTGGGTATCGGCCGAGGTGTGCCAAATGGTGTTTAATCTATAAATATGATAATGGGTGACGCAACGTGATGTGATGAAGAAATTTACATGTTCACATGTATAGTACAAGAACAAATTTTAAATTAATTCATAACAAACGATATTAAATTTTAACAAACCTTTTCCATCTAGCCTATTCCAAAAAGTATGTGCTGTGTGATTGTGGTGTCGGGGGGGGGGGGTAGTAAATTTAAAAAGGTCCTATTATGAGCGAAACATATATCAAAATCTAATTTCAGACGCGGATCCAGAAATTTTTTTCCGGGTGGGGGGGGGGGGGGTCCACCTCAGTCAAAAAAAAAACCTATCCAAGAAATTGACAATCAAAAAAAAAAAAAACCTAAAGTAAATCTCACCCAAACGTCAAAAACCTATATCGTGGGGGGTGGGATGGGGGTAGTGGTGACTTCTATTGCTGCAAATGTTTAACTTTTCATACCTATTTTACACATATTCGTGTTTACCAGGGGGGGGGGGGGATCTGCATTTTCCAAGGGGGGTCCATTGTAACTTTTTCCTTGTCTTAGTATATACATTTTTTAACCTTGTAAATTCCAGGGGGGGGGGGGGGGGGGTCGTGACCCCCCCCCCCTCCCCCCCCCCCCGACAGATCCGTGCATGAATTTACATCATTAATAAAATTCAGACTGGTATATAATGAATTAAGCATGTATAAAATAAATATAAGAGGTTCTGGATTATAGGTCACAGGGTCTGAGAATTTCATACTCAATTTGATGAATACATGTAAATTATAGAATTATTTTGACTATTTCTTTGGAAAGCCGCCCAATATGTAGGAGCGTGTATTTAGAGGCAAACACCTTAGTGCGGGTATTACTGTCTCATGACAGCAAATAGTTTCATATTATTAAGATTTACACTCGATCCAGCTGCTAGCAGCATAACTTAGGTCGAGAAGAGAAGGGCCTGGGTAGATAAGACTCTTGAACTAGTTCCTCATTCAATTGTTTGTCTTTTCATTGACGCGGCTGTTTTATGATTATCATTTTTAATGACATCTTTTCAACACTATCTAAACATTTACTCCTTATATCACCTACAGTATTAAACATTCCCATTAAAGTTCTAAAAATGTATCTTTTTTGGTATTTTATTTATTTTACACGTGACATTTGAAGACGAGAAACTATTAATTTATTTTTTGAAAATTTCTCTTATTTCCTTCATCATCTTCATGTTCTTCTTCATGTTCATCATCATCATCATCTTCATCATCACTTCCACCATCGTCATCGTCATCAATGCCTTTCACTTCTTTATCTTTTTGATCTTTACAGCCTTGAGTTGGAATGGAGTCGACAGATGGCGCTGTTGGTTCTATTCCACCTCCACAGTCAGGAGAACTGTCATACAGAGACTGCATTCTGGAAAATCTCAAATCCGTATAAGTATTTACATCTGGTTGTTCACGTGTGCTCGATACAACATTTCCGGCTCCACCTGATGAAGAGCTTCCTTGAGATTCCAATCCATCCCTCTGAGTTTCTTAAAAATGAAAGTAAGCATTTACGTTCTGTTCTATGATTTTTTTTTAAACATTACACTATACCGTAATCTGATTTTTTTTTAAATTAATTGAGCAAATCTGAGTATATAGCCTGCATTTTTCTTTTAGAAATGTATTCATTGAGCAACATTTTTTCTTCAATAATCCTTATATTAATTTGAAAAAAATCTTTAATTAACGTATTTATTTGTAATGTTTACAGACAATACAATATTTTTACAAGTTGGTTCTGTATTGAGCCCATCAGACGGAGCAAAACAATCACGTGGCCTTGAAAACCTACTGGAAAATTTCATATTAACCAGTCAAAAATAAATAATTGTAATTGTAAAAAAATGCTAGTTATTATGCATTATATTGGTAAATTATTCAAAAATATTAAAATGCTTCAATAGTTTTATTTTGCCCACATTACCAGGATCTAAGATAGAACAGTAGACCAATCAGACTCATGGTAATTACAGATCCAACCAGGGCATACGTCAGGTTTGTCCACTCACTAGGACCCTCTCTGTACTTTCCTTAAAAGGAAATAAATTGAATAAATAAATTGAAAAGATTAAAAATGTAATAATTTGTTAAAAGTGCAAATAAAGAACAGGGATCATTCACAAAAATATTTAAACGATACAAATATATGAAGCGGCGGGCAAAAAGTAAGGACCCCTGATTTTTTTTTAGAGTTTGGATCAAGTGCCAAGGAGGAGAGGGTAACAGACATAAATTTACAAATTATACCATATTTCATGAACAGGATAGAAGCAAAACATTTTGTAATTACCCATGCTTTCCATTTGACAGCCATATCTTACATCACACCTCTCTATAGGACAGTAACACTCATACCTACAGAGTTTTCCGTAAAAACCCTCCACACATCTTCCAGTGCAGTTTATACCATAAGTTCCCAATGGACACTCTGTAAAATGAATTTTGATATAAAAATGTTTCCATGCAAGGTCCAAAACTTTTTTGAAAAATTTCTTTTGGATCACCTATACTTAAATTTGCCTCATTTGAAATCGTTTATTTACTTACGTGGTCATTGGTCAATTGCAAAAATAATTGTTTTTTTTTTTTGTTAAAACAAATTCTGATTGCACACACAAGTACTCTGAAGTTGACATAAAAAGATGATTGCGTTTACCTACTTACTTACACAGCAATATACCTTCATCACCTGCATACGGAGTGTATATATCACAGTTGATTCGATAGGCAAGAGCATGTTCTACAGTGTACGTATGAACAATTTCTAAAACACGGTAACTTATTGACAAGCAAGTTGATAAAACAAGAATATCAGCGGTCTCGTTTAAAGTAATCATTTCGTAAGTTCTACGGTCGATAGAGTGACCTTGTCAGTAAATACAATTTATCATTGAGACAAATGCTGACTGACGTTTTTCATACTAATTGTTAGTCCGTTATTTATAAACTGAATTGACGACGGATTTTTCCGTTATTTCCTGATCATGACAAGGAGAACACAGCGGGTGTGACCAGTCAGCAGGGGGTGTCCACTCCTCCATGGCACCTGATCCAACCTCTGATGTTTCGGATGTTCGTGTTTGCTCTGCTCCTATTTTGTATTGTTTTATGGACTTTGATATTTAATACTGTTCGTTATATCTATATCCTTCCTCATAATCTACTTCCACTATGACTTATTATTAAGACATTTCAGCCATGGCACCTGATCCCACCTCTGATGTGTCGGAGATCTGTGTTTGCTCTGCTCCTGTTTAATATTGTTTTATGGACTTTAATATTGAACAATATGTTCTATATTAACTTTATTAAGGGGCAAGTGGAGCATGTAATTTTGCTAGAACTATATAATTTATCTTATGCACTCTTTTTAAAGTTGAAATGTCCACATAACAAACTGTAAGCATGCTCAAAAGTCTTAAAGTCTAGAAAAACAATACGATTTGTAAGCAGAACACATGTAAAAACACAGAAAAGTTCAGGTGTCATGTAAAAGTAAAATCAAAAACAGTATTACTAGGGGCATGAAACAAGATTCCTTAGGGTTACCACATCTGTTTCCCAAAAGTAAAAAGCATCCTTAATATTATTTATGGGTGTCATCACGCCTAAGCTATTTGCTTATTAAGACATTTTCTATGAAACTTTTGTTATATTTTTGGAATCTGTTAAACCAACAAATCTATAATATAGATAACAATCGCTGTCTTCTTATCGAAATAATTAAAGTTATTGTGCTTACCGACACAATCCCCGTGCGAACTTCGGTAAAAATTGAGACAGCACCTGCAAACATGTGAGAGAGAAAAAGTAATGTAGAGTGTTGCAGTAACTCTTATTGCTTTAACAGGTGTACACATAATCTGTATATGTGCATTATATCATTCTAGTAAAAGCTCTGAATAGCATACCTGTCTCCACACAATACACTGCAATAAATCTTCAAGTTGGGTAAGACTATCATATGATACAATATCAGTCCGCTCTGAAATGAATCATTTCATTTTTAAGAACATTAATGAAAAATCTGCATTAATTGAAATATTTATATCGGTACTAAATATGTGTAAATATTATAAAATAAATTAATTAATATATATTTTCTATTATTTCCTGAGCCCTTGTGTTGCAATTACGTATTAATATATTCATTCTTTTCCTTGGAACCTATTAACTTGAAAAGGAAGTGATAGAGCCGCCGCTAACAATCACTGGAAATCAGTTTTAGAAAGGAAATATTAGCAGATGTGGTATTTAGGAAATAAGAACAATTGTGAATATAGAAAACAGGATGGAATTGTAACATGATCAATTGTTCGTCAATATGCATATGATTTGTAGGCTTTTTTTGCATAAAGATTTAATCTTCACATAATTCAAAGAAATAGTATCATTGAAAATATCGAACAAATGCTCTTTGTCTTATTATTATTTATAGTTAACTACATGTAGCATTTAAATTTCATGTTAAAATGACAATGTCTCTTCATGAATGTAATGCCTTATTTGAGCTACATTTATGTAGAATGTTTTTTTTTTTTTCGCGAACTTTTTTTGCAACAATCACTCTATGCACAGACATAACTACTTTCTTCAAAAGTTACCATGATTCTATTTTCCATCACATATTGACGGAGCTGGTATTTATATCATTATTTAGACTTGGTTCCCTGATACCCACCTCAACTCACAGTCCATTAAATTTCTTTATTACTAAGGAGAATCCTTTGGGGTTTCCTGAACTGTTATACGATATATTTTTGATACATTTTAGTCATTGAATATATTTAAATCTTTGTTTGCATATGTAAAACTAATTGGCCAAGAAATACAACTCTTAAAACCATCTTTTGTATTTAATCAGATGTGATTTATATATAGATAAAGTATATCATTGATGGGGTCTTGGTCGAGGAACTGGAACTGGAATCTTCCTAACTCCCTCAGTGATATACTTTTTAACTGTTTTATTATACCGATACAAAAAGAGGATGGCTGGGATTTAGCTTCAAAACTAACGGGGGATTAGTACATTGATATATTAGACTGATTATGGAACGCCATCACTGCCTTATAGCATAAAACTATGCATTCATTATGTCAATCTATCATTACGTGATGGGAACATATCTTTACGTAATGTCATTTTTTATGGGTTGTTGTGAAAATATCTTTACATCATGCCAATGCTGCATTACATGAAGTGAACACATTCTTCCATTATGTCAGCACTTTATAACTTGAAGTCCAAAGTTCATTATGTGAAGTGAAAATATGTTTACATTGTGTTAAAACATTATTACGTGAAATGAATGTATCTTAATATTAATTCATTTCTTTAATATGCGAGGTCAAAATTGCATTACGTCAAGTTAATTTCGTTTTACATGTGTTCTATGATTAAATTTATCATTACGTTAAGTCAAAGTTCATTCCCTTTTGTGAGTGTATATTTCTATAATAACATTTTAGCATTATTACGTGATGTAAATGTATCTTTTTTACGCCGAAATCATCACAATGTGAAAAATCTTACCTTTATGTCAGTGCTTTATTACGTGATGTAAAAAGGTTTATAACATAATGTGAACATATATTATGGAGACAGTCCCGGCGTTCCATATTATATCAACACTTTATTACATTATGTCAAAACTCCATTCCGTGATGTGGATATATAAGTACGTTAGGACAAATCTTTCTTATATGATTTAAGAATATCTTTATATTGTGTTAACTCCTTATCATGTTGATTCTAATGTTCATTACGTGCTGTAAAATACATTTACATTATGTCAAAGTTGACAACCGTGTTTTCTCGACGGGGAAGGGGGGGGGTGTTCTGATTAATTAGGACGAATAAGAGACACATTATATAAGGGGGGGGGGGGTGGGTCTGGCTTCCTCTTTTTTTCCGACATAACTTTATCATAGAAAATGTTCATTGAAGGGGTTTGAAATTCCGCTCCACTTTTTGCTGAAGTATAAGGGAATTTTTTTTTAGGACTGATCGACGTTGGACCCCCCCCCCCTTTCATCCAAATAGGATTTTTGAGTTTGGACGTTATTTTTTTCCTGGTTGACAATCCTCCCCCAACTTTCAAAAACGATGCAACGTCACTGGAACGAGTCATTTTTCAACCATCCCAGGTCCAGAATTCTGTTACAAAATTCTACCAGTCCCTCACTGGTTCTTGAAAAGAGTAGCTAAAGAGGGACGGTATGGTGTTTAAGTTGGGGACCAGGGGGTGAAAGCCTGGAAACTCTCAGGCTTTAGTGTTTTTTTTATATAAAACGTTTCAACTTATTTCAGTTATACTTTATGTGAAACTAATGCAATGTCCTACAAAGTAAAACCAATTGATTAATTTCACGCATATTTTGGTCACTAAAGATGAGAGGGAGGGATCCCCCTCTCCCCACCCAGTGACGTATGAAATACGATGTGTTTACACTTTTAAAAAACAAAAGAAAAGAAAAAAAGAGGGTTAACGACTGATAAAAAACTTAGGACAGTGTTTTGTAGTTAGATAAGAAGTTTCGGACTTTTCAAAATAAAATGAAAAAAATTGCTGCATTACACATACTATTTGATTTGCGATAATCATGAGATTAAACGGCCATTGAGTTTCGACGTTAAAAAAAAACAATCGTCAATAAAGATTCCATGGGAACATGATCCTATTTATAAATTTTAACATGATATTTAATCAAGGAATTACTAAGTCTTGTGTATAATTTAATATTTGATATATTTAATTTAAATTATTTGCATCTTTAACATATGTGCATGTAATATTGAAAACACAAAACGAACTTTTAGGCATAACCTAAACCTTACGTCACACAATAAAGAGTTGAAATATTCTAAGATATACTGACAAGAGGCTAACCATTTTAGACACAATGTAAAGATACAATGGCATAACATAATAATGGTTTGTCAAAAAGTTAGGAAAATTGACATCATGTAATAGATTCCCGTCGTCCTGTAGCATATTGATGACACAATGAAGTAAAGAATTGGCCACATGTGACAATTTGTTCAGATCATTAATGAAATTCTGACATCGTGTTATATCGACTTGATATTGAATTAAAGATAAATTCACATCATGTAATGAACTACTTAGACCAAATAGTAGAGAATGCACATAATGTAATAATGAGTGGAAAATATATAAAAACATCTTTACAGCACGTAAAATTGTTTTGACTTAATGTCATAAAGAGCTGATATAATTGCAATGGAAGATTGGCGCAATGTAATTAAAGTGCGAGTTAATGCCATTAAGACTAAACATAATGTAATGGAAAATTGACATAAAGCAATAGTTGTGTGTGTAAATGTCATAAAGAGTTGACATAATGTAATAAAAGATTGACACAATGCAATAGTAGTGTGGACTTATGTCATAAAGAGTTGACACAATATAATTGAGGGTTGACATAATGCAATAGTATTGTGGGTTAACGTCATAAAGAGTTGACATAATGTAATGAAAGATTGACACAATGCAATAGTAGTGTGGACTAATGTCATAAAGAGTTAACATAATATAATGGAAGGTTGACATAATGCAATAGTATTGTGGGTTAATGTCATAAAGAGTTGACATAATGTAATGAAATGTTGACATAATGCAATAGTATTGTGGGTTTATATCATAAAGAGTTGACATAATGTAATGAAAGGTTGACACAATACAATAGTAGGTTGAGTAAATATCATAAAGAGTTGACATAATGTAATGGAAGGTTGACACAATGCAATAGCAGTGTGAGTAAATGTCATAAAGTGTTGACATAATGTAATGGAAGGATGACGCAATGCAATTGCTATGTTCTGCTATAAAGCAGTGACGGCGTTCCATAACTGATACAAAAGTAAAGTCTAGATGATTACGGAAGAAGGGATTAGCTCATTTAATTAATACACTGATAATAAGTCCATCCACTGAGATTTCTAGGGAATTATTCACATTTTACTGCCTTACTTTTATTTAGAAAAATCAGTAGAGTTACAGTAATTTCAATTGATATTCCTTGATTATGTTATAAAAGATTTTCTTATTGGATTTACTCTCCAAGTCTTTGTCATGATCGGGAAATAACGGAAAAAGAGTAGTCAATTTAGTAAATGTCATAAATAATGGACTAACAATAAGTATGAAAAATCTCAGTTAAAATTTGCTTCAATACAATGACATTGCCAGGAAAATTCAATTTATCATTGAGTCAAATGCTGACTAACGTTTTTCATAATTGTTAGCCATTATTTATACATTGAATTTACGGCAAATTTTTCCGTTATATACCTATCATGACAAGAAGCACGTGCACACAGCGGGTTTGACCGGTCAGTAGGGGATGTTCACTCCTCCATGGCACCTCATCCTACCTCTGATGTTTCGGAGGTCCGTGTTTGCTCTGCTCCTATTTTGTATTGTTTTATGGATTTTGATATTGAATACTGTTCGTTATCTCCATATTCTTTCAATGATAAATTGTACATGTATTTGCTTACAAGTCTTTGTATCGATTATAGAACTTACGAAATGATGACTTTAACAATAATTTACGTAGTTCTAAAAATTGTTCATACCTAGATTATGGTCTTACATATGGAATCATTTGATAAATGATCTCAATGATCGTTGTGTCTATTGAGGAGTGCAAAAGAGTTCGTTCATGATTTATATTGTTCAACAATTTCAGTAAAAACTAAAATTAAAAAGCTTTTTTTTTTCTAAAAAGATGAATTTTCAAGACAGACAAAATCACAAAATTGTGCATTTTATTTATAGCTATTCATTTGCAGCAGGAATTGTTAGGATTTTTTCTTGTATATGAAAATATAAATGAACATCTTGAAAGCACATAAATAATAGAAATTCTGTTTGTTTTGATTGGAAATATAGGATATTTTTAGGATTTTGTTTTTCTTAGCTTTCCTTGCATCATAAAAACTGATGAGCGTAGGTATAAGGAAGAAGAATACCTTTTCAAGAATAGATGTCATTTTGAATTTCTTCCTTAACTTGATGTATTTTTGCAAACTATTTAGATTTTGACCTTGAGTAGTTCATATTTCTCACAAAAATTCTGCATTCCTGGTATTTCTGCCCGAAGTCATCTGTTTTAATCCCTGCCCTCCCCTTGAAATTTTAATAGGATACAATGAAAAACCTTAGCAGCAAGATTGATTGATTTGTATATTTTTAAATCCCTCTCGAGACTTTTTTACTCACCGTATGTTGAAGAACTGCTTCAAATTTGGACCTACGCTAGACACTCAGGGCCATTGAGCAGTGAGGGTTCTTGATCGTTTTCATCGTATTTCTGTTCGAAAATGAAAGGAATATGTTGAATGAACTTTCTTAACGCACGCCTGTTTTAAGTTGTCAATGTTTTTTTTTTTCCTTTTTGTCCATCATGACATGGAAAACATGGGTATGATACAGTCAATATGCTATACTTTTTACGTTTAAAGTGATCATTTCGTATTAGTTTATGGTCGATAAAAACCGTGTAAGCAAATACAATTTACCATTTTTTATTGAAGTGTTTGACATTTTCCAAACAATTGTTAATTTTTAATTGAATTGAGGATTTTTTAAGATTCCCATACATAATGTTTTAATTTGATCAATTTATACAATTAGTGGACTTATATTTTTTTTTACTTTTTTGAATTTAATTTCAATATTTATACAAAATACATAACAGGAACAGGATTGGGTTTTTGTTCATAAGGAGCAATATCAACATAACGAATGGATATGTAATGCAAAAAGCTGAAAAGACTTCCTTAAACAATTCTTTTGACGCCATTTTCAGAGGAAATGGCGGGAAATTGCATTTAATATATTCCTGTTTTAAGTACTTTCTTGTTGTTTTCCTGATTTAAAAAAAGCACGATAAAAAACAGAATACATTCTACACTGTACTGACCAATGTACCGTAATACAATATCAAACTTAAAAAAGTTAACACGCATGTGCGGATAGAACATCAGAAAATTTAAATTTGTTTAAGCAGATAAGGGACATTTTGCAGATGTTCAGGCCATTTCAAAATCCATCAGGGTAAAATGCCTGAATTTCGAAAAGGAATATATTTTGGATCATGTTACTTTTTTACAGTAGCAGGTGACATTAATAGATGTGGAACAAGGTAATAATTTCATTATTATTACAATGTATATAAAAAAGCCAATTTAAATAATTTTGTATTTTTTTTTTTTTTTTTTGCATTCATTTTAATTCAATGTGCGTTTTATGTTAAGGTGCTGTCTCAACTATTACGAATACTGGAATGGTTCATGTTTAGGTATGTGTTATTGTTTGATTCAATGTCGTATATTTTATTGTTTGATTCAATGCCCTGCAAAAAGTGAAAATGTTAGTTTTTTTCAAATTTCTCTTTAGAATGCCCTCTAGGCACACATGGCCTTAATTGCTCTGGAGAGTGTGTCCCTGGATATTTTGGAAAGTTCTGTCAAACGAAATGTCGCTGCAATATCGAATTGTGCAATAAAAAATATGGCTGCCTGAAAGATAAAAACCAGCCAATTGGTAATTACTTTCTTAAAATATTTTTACAACGGCATTATTGACCATTACCTTTATTGACAAATTAACTTTATACAGGACCTTAATATTTTGAAATCAAATTTTTAAGAAGGTTTAAATGTAAATGAAATAATATCAAAAGTTTCATAAAGTTATGGAGATAATGAACTATATTCAATATCAAAGTATAAAAGACTACATTAGGAGCAGATTTTCAAGCTTTTCAGAGATTTTACCATATCCCCTGATAATCAATGTAAGTTGATCGAAATAAAAAAAATTTTGTATAAATCATTGACTAACAATTGATATAAAAAACGTCAAGCATTTGAAATGTTAAATTTATTTGCTAAATGTTTAAAAAATTTATTAAGCCAAATGTATGTATACCAGCTTAAAAGAATAAGAAATTGATTTAATGGGTTATTTTTTCTTTATCGAAGAAGACAACAGTAATGATTATGTAACCAGTGGTACTGGGGTAAATGTAGCGTATCTTCTGATTGGATTCTTCGCTGCTATCTTTATGACCATTCTGTTCTTCTACCTTAAATCAAGGTAACAAACTTAACATTCGGACTGACTGGAATTGTTAGCATGTTAATGAATTGAAATATTTCTTTGAACTTGTGACTTATCAAATTGTTAAACATGTACATGCATGTATATAGATGCATTTTAAAAATAGGTTTTACAGACACAATGTTCTTCAAGAGCAAAATCGCCAGAACCAAACTATTACTACAGGTACGTTTTACTAAGTAAATATTAACTACACATAACATTAAAACAATTCTTAAATTAAAAAAATGCATTATAAAATCTGTTACATAAATGGAACATCTTGATTTTCTAAATCACTGACAAAAACTCTTTTCAAGAGAACTATGGCGATCAAGGGCAAAATGCTGAAAATGTCGAAATACCCGAAGAAATTGAAGACGTGGTACCTTGTTTACATGCTTACTCCAAAGAAAATATTTATTCTGACCAACTGTTTTCCCAAATGGACCATGCACACAATAAATCGGACCAAAATGAATGTGATGTAGAAACCGAATCATTACCTGTGAGCACATTTCCAGAACACACATTCGTAATTGGTGTGTATGAAGATATTGATGAGAATGAAGACGGTCCTATTAGCGAAGGCAGGTGTCAAATTTCACCATATAAGCTGAATGACATTAAACATATACTTTCATAACTTAATGGACTTCATAAAATAGCTAAATAACTTTGTTAAAAACTATATACAAGTTTTGATAATGTTAAATATTCTAATGTTTAAAAAGTCACACATGATTAAAAACAGAGAGCTTACAATTCCATCTTTGTGTAATTTATCTATTATTAAAGTTTTAACCTAACAATCATTTCATCTTTAGTAGACATGTTCGAGGGATATAACTCCTTGTTGAAGTCAAGCAGGAGAAATAGCGCTGAAGACATCACAAAACTGCAAGATGAACCAAACTGTCAGCGGGGTTCAACAACAATAGTAATACCGGATAACACGAAAAGAGTAAAAGATATAACGACATCACAGCATGACAACATCACCCCAATAAGAACAAAATCCAACAATTTGACAAATAACAGTGAACTTACAAGTAATGCTACTGACAAAGCATCACTCACCATAGTATCTGAATTTGAAGAAAGTGCAGGTTCAAGTAATGAAATTTATGACAATAAGCGAGATTATATGAAAATGGAATTAAATGGAAGGTCAATAAATGAGAATAACACAGAAGAAACAAATTTATTTATGGAGGAAACATATGTAGAAATGGAAGAAGGTTTCTCAGATGAATACAGCCAAGTGATAAAAAGAATTAAAGATCAGGGTGAAGAATCGACCCATAAACGATTCGTAGATGATGTGTCATGATTTTTTGTCCTTCACAGTTAATGTAAATTTATTAATCATAGTGGAAGATTTATCAGAATAGCATAGTATAATAGTTCTAATTCCTGGTATAACATAATTCATTTTTTAGAGCTTAAGCGAGTTGTTAGAACATGAAATATACATGACATGTGGCCGTTCGGCACTTTGTTATTGTTATTTTAATATTTTTGCTTTTCTCTTGTTTTGTTGACTGCAAAAACAAATTATTTAAATAATAAAAATAATAATAATTTTGGTAGAACTTCATTATTAACTGACCGAGAACTGTTGAATTGGAGATAAACAGAGACAGGGAAACAGATCGAATAATAAACGTTAATGCACATTCAAATTGTCTACATGAGATTTCCCATGTGTTTCCGGAAATGACAGGGCAGGTGTGGCCGTTCGTGTTATATTTATTTTGACAACCTATCCCATCTACAACCATTTCCCACGAAAAATTAAAGGTTCTTGTTTGCTTGAAGTCTTGTTTTGAATCAAAGGATGCTTTTCTTGAAATATTGTGGTTTCTCTTACCCCATTTCAAAGTATTAAATAATATTGGAATCTTGGTAAAATGCGCTCCGTTATTAGCTCTCCTATTTTTATATTCAATGAAGCATAATATGTAAAATGCGTGAAAAGAAGAAAACAGTTGCTTGGTCTTAAACATTTAGATACGCGACGTATTGTCAATTAACAAAAGTATGTCCATTCCTATGTCGATTTACCCTGTCAATTGTATAAAAGATAAATCTGACACATCTATTTCATACTTGGATATTTTACTTGAAAAAAACATTAATGGTAAACTAACAACCAAGCTATATGATAAACGTGATGACCTTAACTTTTCTATCGTCAATATCCCTAACTTATGCAGCAATATACCTTCGTCACCAGCATGCATACAGACTGTATATATCTTAGTTGATTCGAAACGCAAGAGTTTGATGTTCGTAAGAATAATTTCTAAAACGAGGTAAGTTATTGACAGAGAAAAATATTTAAAGTCATCATTCTGTGAAAATGTACACCTGTTTAATCATCATTGAGAAATGCTGAATTTTTCATACAATTGTCAGTCCATTTTTATACAGGAACTGACAACGGATTTAGCCTGGTCATGACAAGGAGCACACGTGTGAATTCAGCAGGGGATGCTTATTCCATTATCCCTCTGATGTTTCGGAAGAATGCTCTGCCAGGTTTTGTATTGTTTTATGGACTTTGAGATTGAATACAGGTTCATTTCCATATCCCTCTTACAAAAGTTAAATTTCCCTAAATATCTCATATGCTGTAATTTGATATCAGTTACATTTCCTTTCCATACGATATAACGAGAAAACAAGTTTTTCTTGCAATATTATATTTATCCATACATTGCTGAGTTATATTACAGCAGGGATAAAAAAATGAATGCGGTGGTATGTTTTTAATTTTTTGTATAATTTATCTTTAATTCACAACTCATTTTTATCTTTACAGTATACATGTATTTTATTCATTTAATTGCTCTTTAAACCCCTTTGAAATAAGAAGATAAAAAACAGGGACCCAGCTCTAAAATCCATTCATAGAATACAAAATAGGAGCAGAGCAAACATAGATCTCTTAAACATCAGAGGTAGGATCAGTTGCCATAGGGGAGTATGATTCTAGGAAGCAATCAGAAAACAAAAAAAAACCATGCACAAAATATATGAAGCAAATTAAAAGTTCTTAAGTTAAGATCCATCTTTCTTGATCAAATGTTCCGAGCTGAATCATTGATGACCTTATGTCTTAATGCTCAACAGAAAAGCAAAGTTACGTTTTAATTATATGGATTTTGTAAGTTTTTACCGGATTGTTTTTTCATGCATCGACATTTGTCACAAATAAAATTACTGATTTTCTCCGCATTGAAAGGGGAGAGGATATTTATTTCGGCTTGTCTGTCCGTCCGTTGTTTTCCTGCAACAATTTTCTTTCTGTGCCATTTCTCGAGAAGCCTTTGAGGTCTTACAATGAAAGTTAACAATAACATTACAAGTCTCTTTGGTCTACAAAAGATCTTGATTTTGAAATAAATAAGTAAAAAGTCAATTTCTTTCATTCAGTTATATTCTATGTGTTCAATACTTTTATTTTGAAGTGATATATCTATAAATTCTGAGCTTTTGCAATGAGATTTTATACCATAACTCATTATGGGCGCAGCCGACCTTCTAAAAGTGTCCCCTTTGGTTATCCACATAGATACGCACATGCTCTACTTTTTCTCCGTAAGCGGGTTACACGGATTTCCTGAATTAACTTGTTTGTATACTAATACTTCTGCTGTTGTCAAGACACTTAAATACTTGAGTGATAAACTTCAAACAATTAAAGAAATTTTAACAAAGATTTCATCTAAAAAAATAGATAATAGATAATCTACATGTATTAATCTGTAGATAATCTTGAAAACTTTTTTATTTTAATGATAAACATAATGAACCAATTATAACTTTCTGAACAAAGCTTTCCAATGAATTAAATGGAATGGTGAAGGGGCTATTTAGCATGATACTTTTGTCGTATGTGCACCATTGAGATACAACTGGGATATTTTTTCACTGGGACATTGTGTGTAGCAACGGACACTCTGATGTATGTATTTTTTAGATTCTTGCTAAGTTTGTACTTTATGTTTCATATACTTATAATATATTACTGTAAGTAAATTATTGTTAAGGTTAAATTGTGTTATTGATCTTTGCTGGCATTTAGGGTTATTCTGACCCATAACAGAATTGGGGGCTCGTCCGGGATAAAGAATTTCTTGCACTTTTGCAGTTTATTGTCAGAATTTTGTTAATTGAACCGTCAAATTTCATTTTAAGCCAGCAGAAATCAACATGGTGTTTTCGGTCACAGACTTTCTTAGTTCACCAAGTGTTCAGGTTTTTGATACGTTAAAAAAGGATGACTTGATCGCATTAGGTTTGCATTTTGGGTTAAATGTTAAATCCTCTCAGAGAAAGCAAGACATTAGAATTAAGGTTGCAAACAAACTAGTAGAAGAAAACATCTTTGAAAAATACGATCTTCCAGAATATACAGTTAAATCAGAGTTAGGCTCTTATAAAATGGCAGACTATCAGTTTCAATTAGAGTTAGAGAAAATGCGACTTGAAAGAGAAAAATTAGAAAGAGAAGAGCGAGAAAGAGAAAGAGAAGAGCGAGAAAGAGAAAGAGAAGAGCGAGAAAGAGAAAGAGAAGAACGAGAGCGTGAACGAAAATTTGAATAAGACAAATTAGAAAGACAAGAGCACTTTGAGTTAGAGAAATTAAGATTACAGCAGAAACCAGAACCCTCATTTGTCAAGAATGAATTTGATGCAGCAAAAAATATTAGGTTAGTTCCAAAATTTCAAGAAAAATCTGTAGACAAATATTTTCCCCAATTCGAAAAAGTCGCAGAGAATCTAAAATGGCCCCGAAATGTTTTGTCAACGATGTTACAAAGTGTACTGGTTGGAAAAGCGGCTGAGGTATACTCTGCACTAGGGGTAGTTGAGAGTTCAGACTATGGGAACGTCAAAGCAGCAATATTAAAAGCATATGAATTAGTACCTGAAGCGTATATACAAAAGTTCAGAAAGTATAGAAAGTTTGATAATCAAACATTTGTTGAATTTTCACGAGAGAAAGAAGATTTATTCGATCACTGGTTTAGATCTAAGAAACTTGATAAAACTTTTGCTAATTTTCGCCAAGTCATCCTGGTAGAAGAGTTTAAGGAATGTGTTTCTCAAGATTTGAAAACACATTTAGAAGATGAAGATGTGAAAACTCTTGAAGAGGCAGCAGTCATATCTGATACTTATGCTCTGTGTCATAAAAAGAATTTTGTATCAAGATCTCAGACTAGCAGTAAGTCTACCAATTCAGACACATATAAAAAGAGTGGTTCAGGGTCTCAGTCTTTCACAAGTTGCCAATCTCCATCCCAAGGTGGTTCTAAGTCCGGTCCAGGACGTTTTTAAGGATCTTTTGGAATAGGGTCGCTTCCTACGTGTAGTTATTGTAAGAAAAAAGGTCATCTGATCAGTGAATGCTTTAAACTTAAGAGAAAAAATGATTTTGGTAAAACTCAACCACATGCTTGTGCGG